AAAAAAAAAAAAAAACAAATTAAAAATGCAAATAAAAAAATAATATTAAACCAAATGTCGAATTGTAGCATTTTGATCTGAGATTGATTCCCATCAACGGCTTGTCGCCTCGCATGTCGCCCGTGTCTGCACTTTTTTTTTTCATATACATTAATATTCATTCATCAAATTTAATATGCATTGCAATATTGTATGAGTAAGCACATACCGTTAGTAAATAAGTACGACTAATGAGTAACGATATAGGATGTTGACAAATGTATAGAGAGGCATGTTGGAGAATAATTATACTGTAAGACTAATGCACAATGTGTAAAAGTCGATACATTTAGACAAATGCGAGCATGTCCGTATGTTAGAGTTTAAATCAAGATCTCGTGCGTTTCACCTCGGCGGCATTTGGCTTGTACGCCTGTTGCTTCTTCGGACATATACGTATGTTATGGCCTGCTATTTCACCACACGACTTGCACGTCCTTCGTTTCTTTTGCGACTCTTCGATTGCCTTCTCCTTCCCACTTCTTAGTCTCTTCCCGCTGCCTTTGTTCTTGGATTGGGTTGGAGGGTGAATGTTCACCTCTCGAGGAGCTGCCATGCCGAGAGAAGATTCAAATTGGTGTTCTTTTCCAATGTTCGTTGCATCACCTGTTTCTGAAACAGACATGTTAGTTTATAAAGTGCAACAAAGTGTTTTATATTGTGCAACACGATTATATATAAAGTGCAATACTGTATGTATCATGTACAGAGGTTTGTTTTTACCTGAGATCATTGCATCCCCTGTTGTAGTAGACAATAGCTTAATCTTGTATGCTTCGACAATTTTGGAAAATTCAATAATCCGATCGACACAAGGCTCAGCTAATCCAATGCATATATGTATATCCGACCATAGTTTGTTCAACATGTGTTTTATATCATCAGCTTGGGCACACTGTGCATCAACACTATCAAGAACATGAAACATGGGATTTCTAATCGCCTGCTTCGTCCATCTCGACCTGATATGTGCTGACGGAATGAGATCGAAGCCTAGGTCTTTGAGCACGACAAACACGTGTCTACACAACAACCCGTACAACTCGAAGTGCTTGCATGAACACGTAGACGTAGTTAGAACCACATCATGAATAACAGTGAAGGATTTACCATTCGTGTCTTTGATTGTGAATTCCATATTCCCTTCACTTTCAGAGACGTTCAGCACATGACACGTGAAACATGCGGCACATATCTCATCTTGTACACGGTAGAACGAGGATGTCGTGTAAATAGACCTCGCGTGCCTCTCAACCGACAAAGGTGTCTTCAACTCAGCCATTTGCGACTCACTGTCGTTTTGTGACTTGACTGATACATTTCGTTGCGCGTCCATCGCACTGTCGAAATGTAGTAAGAACTCGACTAAGCTAGAATGGCTACTCGTGAAATGACCGAACCAATGGTTTTCACTCTCGGACCTTGATGTTGTCCTCATCAACCCGCTCATTTTGACATCTCTGAAAAATGCTGGAACCCAAAATTCCCTTTTTGCAAATAGATCAATAAACCAATTATGTGTTTCCAGCATAAAGTCTCCCATGATTGCTGCCCATTTAGATTCAAATTCATCTGGCTCTATAGTTCGGTCCCACACGATTTCATTAAGCCTCCGCTTGAATTCTACATCGTTATCTATTGAATGACCGACCATGTCGCATAGTTTAGTCATTATATGCCACATGTAAAATCGGTGTTTGCAAGTCTCGAATACCTTAGAAAACGTAATGCCGATCGAGTGGTCTTGGTCAGTGATGATATATTCGGGTTCGTGCATCATTGCATCTTTGAAATTCTTGAACACTCATTCATAAGAGTCCACGTCCTCTTTTGATATTAACGCGGCGGCAAACGTAACACACTTGTTGTGATTATCTATTCCAGTAAAAGGCGCAAAAATCATATTGTACCTACACATTGAGAGATTTTAGTTAGTACACAGGTGATAATGTTTATATTGGACAAACAGAGAAAATACAAGGTGCAATTGCTAACTGTATAAAGTGCAATTGCTAAATGTACAAAGTGCAATTGTTAATTGTATAAAGTGCAATTACTGCTGACTAGTGCAAAAAATGTTATTGACCTGACAAACTATGTTAGAAAATGTATGTGAAATTTATGCCAACCTGTTGGTGCCGTACGTCGCATGAAACGATACAACATCACCAAACGAACAGTAGTTCCTCCTCGAAATCGGATCAGCCCAAAAAAGCCATTTCAAACGCCCTTTTTCGTCGAGCTCGTACTGGAAGTAACTGGCTGAGGTTGCTTCCCGACGCTTATGGAATTTATCGATAATCAATTGTGCATCAGCTCCTAAGATGTATGCACGGAGTTCCCGCTTTAAGTTCTTGAAATCCACGCTGGTGGCTCCAATGTTCAAATACCCTCCAACCATCTCCTTGTACAATCGGTGCGCCTTGACCGGCCCTATATTTGCTTTTATGCAATTCATTACGAACGACCGATGTCCTGCATTCATCGACCTATTGATCTTCATTTGTGACCTGCAATCTTCAGATGTCATCGAGTGGCTGTGCTTTTCCTCAAAGGTTTTAACGACGTATCCATTCAATCCATCATATCGAATCCCAATCTTGGCAGCACATCCTACCCGGTTGGACACTCTACGTCTTGTCACGTGTCCTTTAGCATGTACTGTTGGACTGATGACTGCATGATGCTCGTGAACCTCTCGCGAGCACACAATGTACTTCCAAATAACTGTCTTGTCACGTGCTTTCACCAATGTGCTATGTCTCACGTCAAACCCAACAGTCAGAGCATAAGCATTGTAGAAGTTCACGGCTTCATGTAATTCCCGGAATCTTTGTCCTTTATATGGTTTAATCGATTCGTCACATTGTGGTATCCAATGTTTCGTTCCACCCGGTGTGATTAAGAGTTGTTGTTGTGTAACCGGCGGTTGCATTCTTTAAGTGCCATTGCAAGGGGGAAAAAATAAAAAACAGAAAAAAATAATATTAGTAGTAATGACCGAGCTCATCGATTGCACCGGTGAGATCAGACGATTGCACGCAATACAATCGACAGTTGCACTTTATCACAGTAAAGATAAAATTGACCTCAGTACCTTGTTGAGAGTCATTTAATTCCATTGTTTAGGTTGTTCAACAAAGAAAGCGTATGATATCCCTAAATTCACATGAAAAATCAAATTATATCAGATCAACTATCCACGTATTACCTATGAATATTACATATGTTGACATGTCGATAATTAAATCGAGAACACTTGATTTTGTACAACAATTGACCAAAATCGGAAGT